GTGGTTGATTTTTGGATGTATTGATACCTGGGTGCTGGACCGCCGAATCGTTGTCCGTATTCTTGTCTACCTTGATCTGGAACGGCATACTGTTGTCTGTATACCTGTTGAGATGGGGAGCTGAATCGCTGTTTGTGTGCAAGTGGTATTTGATTTGAGGCCACGATATGCTGTTTGAGCTCTTTTTGTGCTTGAATAAGTGCAGCAAATTGTTGTTTGAACTCCAATTGAGCTTGTGCAAGGTCGGCGAACTGTTGTTTGTACTCTTTTTGAGCTTGTACAAGTGCAGAAAACTGTTGGTTATATTCTTTTTGGGCCTGCACAAGCAAGGTGGATTGTTGTATCAATTCTTGTTGAGCTTTGACTGGTATAGCGAACTGTTGATTAAGTTCTTTTTGAGCCTCGTTTAGAGCGGTGAACTGTTGTTTGTACTCTTTTTGAGCTTGTGCAAGGGCAAAATATTGTTGGTTATACTCTTTTTGAACCTGTGCAAGTACAGCGGATTGTTCTTTTAATTCTTGTTGAGCCTTAACTGGCGCTGCGAACTGTTTATTAAGTTCTTGTTGAGCTTGACTAAGAGCGGCGAACTGTTGTTTGTACTCCCGTTGAGCCTGTTCAAGAGCGGCAATCTGTTGTTTGTATTCTTCTTGAGCTTGAGCGACGTAGGCCAAATGTTGATGYTTGTACTCTTGATGATGATTATACTCTTGTTGAGCCTGAGCAGCATTAGCGGCAGAAACATCTTGTTGAGTATAAGTAGGGGCAGTGAACTGTTGTTTATAATCTGGTTGAACCGGTGCTGGGGTGGCGGCTGGGATGATTGTAGGTAAGGCGGATGAGTACGATTCCTTTGTGATTAATATTTGAGGTTCGACCGACTGTTGAGTGGCTGGCTTGTAGTACTGTTGACTATCTTGGTTGTCACGGTAAGAGTTTGGCGCATTGATCGAGTACTGCACTCCACTGTTCTCGAAAGCTGACGGGTATGATTGAGCTAAATTTTGTTGTTGTACACCATCTTGGTAAGACTGTGCTTGTTGTTGAGAGACTTCCAAGTTTGAAGACAATAATTTCTCAGATTGATTTTCGATGTCCTCAAATTTGTTTTGTGCCTGTTGTACAGCTGCTGACGACCCCTGGAAGTATCCCTGTGAYATGGTGGACGGCAAGTATTGTGACGGTAAACCAGTGTTTAGTTGTTGACACCAGCTCATGCCCACGAAAGCGATCGCTACAAGCCCGACTGTRAACATCTATCGGTGGAAAGAAATATTAGTATTTTTGAACATAAATATTACGGCAAAAATGAATTTTTTCAACACTTACCTTGTATACCATATTTTGATATTTTTATAAGTTTTCCGTATATATGACTATATATTATAGTATGTATGTTCTTTGAAGCACGATCGAAGACGACTGATACATTTTACGCATACGAATAAGGTTTATATATGTTCATACTTCATGGTAATATCATAGTGAATTCTATCGGGAGGGACCTAATTGATAATTAACAGTTTTTGTTAATTATATAGCTACGTGATTACTGATAATAATATATTGAGGCATAATTCATACTGTACATTTTAGTAATATTTGGATATCGTAGCATAAAATTCTGCGGTCAAGTTTATTTTTATTTAAAAAATGTTTGTGTTATAACCTCTTTTACTGATAGCAGTCGCAGGATTAACCTATTAACATAAACAAAATAATTTAATAAGATTTATGTACTGATTTAATTTTGTGACTTATAATAAGCTAGTTATACAAAACATTAAAATACGCGTTTATAATGTAGAACACTTGATATTTGATTTATTTTTCCTATGTGTAGTGTATTTATGAATATTTATGTTATTAATATTGTCACATTAATATGTGTCCGATTTTATTGTTTTATATTTTTGAATTTTCGATTTTTTTTT